CCTCTGTCACAGGGGATCAGAGGGAGGTCGGTACAAGACCTCCCTCCGGTCCCCTCTCCGTTGTCAGAATGCGGAAGTGATATTACATCACTTCCGCATTCTTGTGTCACTCTCCAGCTTCAGACGCTGGAGAGAAGCTGATGGAGCAGATCTCTGCTTCATCAGCTTCTTCGGGGGTCCTAGGTGACATTAGGGGTCTTGGAGACCCCTAATGTCTCCATAAACAGGACCTGTCACATATTTTGCTTTCACATAGGGGGGTTTCTTAGCCCCCTATGTAATAGCAATAAAGTTAAGTGGGGAAAAAAATAGGAAACAAAATTAAAGATAAATTTTTTTTTAACGTTACACATAAACAAGAATTAAAACATTTTTTTTAAAAGTCCCCACCCATACATACACACATGCGTCGGGTGTGCATACCTGCAAAAACGACGATTGCACCCATATTACATATTACACGAGTGTGAGCAATCATTTTAGGGCCATCAATCACTGATAACACTAAACTGATGAGCTGTAAAAGTTTATAAAGCGTCGCCTATGGCCAATTTTGGCTATGGTGTTTTTTTGCGACTGCGCGCAATTTTTAAGCTTGACATGTTTGGTGTCTATTTACCGTGACCCCGTCTTTTATGTTTTACCAAACAATTGGGTGATAATAAATGTTTCCTAACATAATGTAAAAAAAACCTTTTTGTTTTGAACATTTTCTGTAATTTTCCCGAAATATAGTAAGAAATAAAAAACCCCAGTGGTGATTACATACCCCCAAAAGACGGTATAAAGACGGTATTGCATGACGGTATAAACGTCAGTCAAAGTACTGCAGCGCTGAATACTGAAAATTGGCCTGGATGGGAAGGGGGTCTAAACACCTGGTCTTCAAGCAGTTAAAATAGGCCCAGCCGCCCTAAACAACATATTTGTCTCTTATTTTTTTACACTTATTGTTTTTATTTTTTTACACTTTTCACTTTTCAACAATGTTATTTTGTTTATTTAATTATATCAAGCAGTCATTGTGAATTCGTCTCACTGTTACTGCTTGATAAATTTAATACATTTTTGATTATTATCAGGCTGCTTCAAACTTCAGAACAGCCAATAATAAGTTAGTGACACTGATCCTGCAGCAGTTCAGGATTCAGCTGACACTAAAGGTTTTCTGATTGTTGCAACAACGATCAGCAAACAAAGATTCTTCTTCCAGGAATAGATACATTATAGGAATAGACACATTATGTATCTATTCATGAAAGAAAAAAAAAAGCCAGTATAGCTTGAGAGAGATATCTGCGGCCTTGAATCTGTAGCCTTGAAGCTTCTGCCGCGTGAATAGAAGCTCCGTCCCCTAAAAAAAGAAACCTTCCTGCACTGACGTACTCAGCTAGCTACCGAGTGCAGGGAGGGAGGGGGGGGACATACAGTACACCCAATAAACAACACGCATTACTATAACAAAAAAAACTTTCTTACAGCTACCGCTCTAGAATGCACCGCAATTGGATTCAAAGGGGCAGCTGCTTTGGGCCCCATAACAATGACTGGGCCTGGGGCAACTGCCCCTTTCGCCCCTCTTTAAAGACGGCCCTGTCCGCACCCCCCCTTTCACACTTACCTACAGTCACATCAGTCTCTGTACAGAGGAGCTTACACTCTAATGTCCCCCCCCACAGTCACATTACCTGCTGGCTGCAGGGCTTCGTCACCCCCTGGACACTAGACATGTGCACAGGCAAAAAAACCGTTTAGTTTCATCTTGTTTTGATTCGGATTTTTCATTTTTTGGGATTCGGAGGAAATTCGTTAGCGGTAGTCGGTACGAATGTTCATTTCTGTTTCATGTTCGTTTCATTGCAGCAAAGTGACATAATTTTTTTTTTTTTAATTGTCACTTTGCTGCAATGAAAATTCGTCCCCAAACGAAAATGCGTACAGACGACCGCTAACGAATTTCGTCCGGAAAACTAATTTTTCCGAAACGAATCGCACATGTCTACTGGACGCAGGGCTTAGGGTTAGTTCACACCATAAGCAGTGCGTTCTGGTCCAATTCTGGCCAGAACGCACTGCCCGCATTGCGGCCGGCTCACTTTTTGGCCAGGCTGGAGGGGGCACAGTGGGCTATTTAAGTAAATTGCGCCGTAGACACCCCCTCTGGCTGCAATGTGATCGCCCGCATGGGATCGCAACGCACATTGTGCCTGCAGTGTGTTCGTGTGCAGTGCGATCAAAATAGTGCTTGCAGCACCGCACCCAAACGCACTGCAGGCACAATGTGCCTTGCCATCCCGTGCGGGCATGCGCATTGCGGCCGGAGTGCGTGGCTATGGCACCATTCGCTTCAATGGCCCGCCAGGCCCCCTCCTGCCCGGCCAAAAAGTGAGTCGGTCGCAATGCGATGCAGTGCGTTCCGGCCGGAACGCACTGCAAGTGGTGTGCAGGAGCAGCCGTTTTTTTGGTATAACCACTTCCAGCGGAGGACGTACATTTATGTCAACCCGCAGGAAGTGGTTAAAAAAAAAAAACCCACACACGCGTAATGAAACATACATATTACACACACATTAAAAACACAGACACACATAGCTTCATTAATGGGGGGAAAAAATCGCACACACACATTAAAAAAACACAATAAAAACACAGACACAACTAATAACATTTGTTAATTCAAAAATGTCCCCCTCTCCTGCTTACCTGTTTTGCAGGAAGGGGGGCTGCATTGCTGGGGTCCAGTGTGGCACTTGGATTATCCTAATGGTGGAGTGTAGGATCAGTGCGATCTGCATCTCAGGCTGATGCAGACCATAGTAATTGATCCCTGCCAATCAGCGGCGGCACCACGAGGGATCGATCAGTATGATCTGCATCAGCAAGAGATGCAGCTCATACTGATTTCCCGCTGGACCACCAGGGAATGATTTTCATTTAATATATTGCCGTTTCGGCAATATATTAAATGAGATGTGGGCACTTGCCAGGTTTAAAGATGGCCGCCCCTACTCGCGGCGGCCATCTTTAAAAACGTAATGTGCAGTCAGTCACAGACAGGGGGACACCCCTGACGGCGGCCCTGCTCACCGCTACTAGTGGCCGGGGATTTCGATCGCGGCGACCCGTTCACTTGCGCGACCCCACACGGGTTCGCGACCCACACTTTAAGAAGCCCTGGTCTAGAACAGGGGTCTCAAAGTCTTGTAGCAAAATTGACACTGCTGAAATGTAAGACTGTGGGCTAAATAAAGTGACTAAAGTGCTTTTAAGGGGTTAGAGCCTTTGTCAGGTTTCTCTTGCTGTCAGTGTCCCGTCAATGAGGATTTACTTGTCATTTTGATGGTCACCAGAACAGGAAGAGGGCAGTCTTGGTGGTGAGGGTTTTTCATACAATTTTTAGGGACTGGTCACTCATTGAGCTACCCATGGTTTTCCTGCATCCACATCTCTTATTGGGTGAAGCTTTTGTATTGTAAACTGGTGATTGTAAAACCCCTGGGCCCCAACTTCTGCACCAGTTGCCATAAAGTCATTACACTCCAGAACCTCAACTGGCATTTGGCTTCATGACTATTGGACAGAATAGGTTTTAGTTTTGACTTCAGCAAAGGAAAAGGCCAATGTATAACCTTAGGATTCAGGGGACTCCATAGGGATCGGTGTGACTACTAGGATGCCTGTAGGTACTGCGAAGAGGTGACGCACTTTAGTCTGGTTCATTTTAAGGTGATATTTCTAGATTACTCTTGGCAAGGCGAGGGCATAGCAGATGGTGACTGCTGGTCAGTTGGTGGTAGACTGGCTTAATCCACTCGGACAAAGTTGGGATTGCAGCATAAAGCCCAATGCTCTTCATACACACAACAGTCTTTTAAGAAAGTTTCAAGCAGCTTTTTGATGAAATCTAGGTGTCTGGCTTTTTGAAGTTTGGTGCAAGAGAGGAGTTGAGAGAAATGAGGCTTTCTTTTCAGATGGCTCCAGTACAGAGGTCAGCATGGTCCTTGACTACGAGAAGGATAATCTCCGATATAATCTGCTCATTATATGACAAGCCTCAGTGATTGCTGTGCAGCTGCTGCATCACTCAGTAGGGTTGTGTTTTGCATGTTTTCTGCCAGTTGGTTCAGAATACTTGGAGCATTTGATGTGGTTTGGTTTCACTGGTTACACATTACCTTGGAATTTAAATGGCTTCCCGTTAACCGGGTTGGGACGTCTTGTGTTGAGTTATGTGGCAATTACTCAATCAAATCTGCTGACGTGTATTTTCTTCTGTTGGCGGCAGGGAGGTAGAAGAGAGGGGCGTTTTTGCCCCTTCATGACCCGTGTACTAGGAGTTTAGTTGTATTGCTACCAAGCTTTATGCTGTGCGGTGGAGATGGTTGCTTGGCATAAGGCATATTTAGATACCCATTTATTTGGGGGAATTGCTGGTAGTAGGATCTTCAATCAGAAATCCAGAGTTTACACCAACAAATTCAGCTTTACTATGTGTAACTGAGTATTCAGTATTTTACAATGGGTTTGACTTATAAACTGCGCAGCCAACAACTCTGAACAAGTCTCGCTGTGGATGATGGGCACTGGCAGGAGCATAGGAATCTCCTCCGCTCAACTGGTGGCCATAATGCGCTGCGAGCCTTGTTCCGGGAGCTGTTGGGGGTTCATATAGTTGTGATAAGTTTTTGTGTTTGGCTGCTTACCAGACATAAACGAATGCCGGTTATAGAGGTTTGCAGGCATTCTTCTCTTGCCCTGCTATCATTGACATCTACAGCAAGTATAGGAAACCTTGCTACTCCTGCTGTGGTAAAGCTACAAATCCCATGAGGCATTGGAAGACTGATGGCCACAGGCATGACTCGCAGAGGCATGATGGGATTTGAAGCTTCACCACAACTGAAGTGCTGAGGTTGCCTAACTGATCTACAGGATGTCTAAGACTTGACTTATAGATGCAGAGTAGGGGACGCATACACACGTTACAGCAGTATTTTGTGATGCATGCCAAACAACATTCTGATGGTTTTGTTTTTCAGGCTGATCACCTGACAGAGGAGCAGATCGCAGGTATGTTTGTAAACTTCCCATTTAGTGCTCTTTCAACTTTTGTGATTTTGAAATATATTTGATCAGAATGGTTTTGATGACGAAAGGCGTTCAAAACTGCACTGAACTCAGGCGTTAAAATCTTGAAGTCATTCGAGTACCTTAACTTGTAACAAATATATCTTCTGTGTGTCACTCGGCACGAATTGAGATTTGAGGATCTACTGCGGAGTATCCTTCTGGGGCGGTGACTACTTTACAACACACACAGGGACCATGGGGAACAAAAGTAGTCCCCCTCCAGAAGGAAGGACCGGCACCAACTCAGATTTTAGGATCTACAGCCGAGTAATACACAAATAAGATACATTTTTGTTAAAGTACTAGGATGGATTTTTGAGGTTTAACTCCATTTCAGTACAGCGCTGCATGACGGAATAAATGTCAGTTAAAGTACCGCAGCGCTGAATACTGAAAAATGGCCTGGATGGGAAGGGGGTTTAACACCGCGGATGTCAACTGGTTAATGCTTATGACACTTTAAGGTCATATTAAAGCTGATCACATGAAGATTGTCTGACTAGTCCCTGAAATATACATGATAACCTTCACAAGGCAGATTTTATAATAGGTGTTCTCAATACCTGTGAAACACTAGAAATGGGCTGCGCATAGATCCTTGTGGGGGTTTTGTTTTTTTAAACCATGCCCCCCTCCCCCCGTTCTGTATTTCAGCTGTCAAATGTGCTAATGCCAACCTTAGCTTCATGTGGGCAGGGCATAGTAAAGTAGGAAAGCCTATTCCACAAATGACCTGGTAAATGTTGTTTTCCCATTTGCTTTTACACTAGCTGCAGACATTTTTTTTCTTTCCTCCCCTCTATACATGACTGCAAAGCTCTGGCCGGTCCATGTGTCTCTGCCGGCAGGAAACACTTCCATCCCTTAAGGCAGTAAATTCTCCTGCCAGCATCCCTGGCTCCATAGCATTGTCATCCGGCAGAGTTCACTCCCATGAGCTGCAACAGCATCAGGCAAGGGATAGAGCCAGAGCTTTGCAGTCACTTGACCGCATACAACAAATTGTATTTATATGGCAACATGGTACGAAATGTCTGCAAGAAATATGAATGTAATAGGGTAGCAACCTTTAAGTTGTGTAGTCTTTCCTTCTGCTTTAATGCTGATTGTGAATACCTGCTGGGCATAAAATTCAGGGGGACTCCAAAGGTTAATTTGAAGACAAACATGGGTACTTGCAGGCACTATAAGAAACCTGCACTATAGCATTATTAACTGTTTTAGCAGGTGAGGTTCACCTTTATGGTGTCCATACACTGCACGATTCTCGTACGAGAATCATGCAGTGTGAATGAAGACGTGCGACCGCTTCTACTGTACGGTCGCACGTCTTTTGTCTAAGGAGCATGCTAGAAAACCAGCCAAAAATCTTACGAAATGTTTTGTGAGGGTTGGTTGTAAAGTGTATGGCCACCTTAAAGCAGAACTGAGGTGAGTTATATACACATCCTCATACCGTAGTTAGAGCCGACGTGTGACAATGAAACTGTCATAAGTCGGCTCTATAGATCAGGAAGTGAGCGAACACATACCGTCGCTCGCTCACTTCTAGATCATCTCCCTGCAGAGCGGTGACTGTCAGTCCTGCAGGGATTCCCCTCTCCGATCCTCCAGCGCTGCCTCTAGTGGATCTTGACAGTATTGTCAGGATTCTGTCCCGGCTGCGGTGCTCCGTAAATTGCAAGCAATAGCCTGCTATACACTGAGCCTTTGGTTATGGGAGGACGTTGGCATATGTCCTCCCGTGACCTTAAAGAGCACTATGGGCTAAAAAGTAGAGGTGCACCGAAATGGAATTTTTAAAACCGAAACTAAACCGAAATAAAATAAAAATGTCAGGCCGAAACCGATACAGAAAATGTTTTTTATTTTTATTTATTAATTCATTTTTTATTAAATATTTTTATTTTTTACTTTTACTTTTAGGGGCTTCGGGGAAATATTGGGGGTCTAAACAGACCCCTGATATTTCCCTTTTAAAATAGAAAAAGAGATTGAGAACACAGAGTCCTCAATCTCTTTTTCTGTGTCCCCTGTTATCAATGAACAGGAATCCTCTATGAGTGTTCCTGTTCATTGATAACATGAGGACATGGCATGTTTACTATAACTACAACTATGAATGAATGGGGGTGATGTAGAGGTGATGTAGATCACTCCCATTCATTCATAATTGAGGATACAGTAACCATACCATATCCTCAATTATGTGCACACACTCGGGGATCACTGATCACTGAGTGTGTGTACTTTGCTTTTCTCTCTGACACGCTGTCACAGGAGGCTGATCGAGCGGTGTAGAAAGGAAAGCCCAGCCTCCTGTGACAGCGATGTCTCCGCCCACACACCGCTCTGCCGGACTGTGATAGGCGGCTGAGGGGTGTGGGAGGAGAGATGCCGCAGCTCACAGCGCTCTCGTCCTGCAGCGCTCGGCGGCTGTCACTTTATTTTCTCCCCGCTGGAACAGCGCCCAGCGGGATGAAAAGAAACCAGGGATGACCCGATGTATCGGCCGAAGCATGGCTCTTTCCGCATTATGCCAAAAGTGCCATTTTCGGCCGATATTTTTCGGCGGCCGATATATCGGTGCATCCCTAATAAAAAGGTTACCCCATAGTTATCAAGGTTTGTGTGTTCGCTGGCTCTATGCAGTGTTGTAATGCTCACTGCTTTTTTTTTTTTTGTACGATTGCAGTTGTATGATTAGGATGTCTTGTGTTTTAATGTGTAGTTTGAGGTGATGACTATATGCACTCTAAATTAAATGCTTTTTTTTTTGTTTCCAGAGTTCAAAGAGGCCTTCTCATTATATGATATGGATGGTGATGGCACAATTGCCACAAAGGAGCTGGGTACATTGATGAGGTCGCTTGGCCAGGGCCCTACAGAGGCAGAGCTGCAAAATATGATCCATGAAGTAGATGCAGATGGTAAGTGTCTTCTAATGGGCAAATCTAATGAAGCTTTGGCTTGGCAATAGGGGCGCAATCTGTTACCTTTTTTTGCCTTCATAAAACACTAGTATGTTGAACTATAAATCTAGAAGATGCAAATCCAGTTCAGATTTCACAGAATCGGTGTATCTTGACTTGGATTAGTTCTCAATGTACTCTTGACTTCTGGTGCTTGTTTGAACTAAGGCTTAAGTCTTGTCTCTTTACAGGGAATGGAAGAATTGACTTCCCTGTGTTCTTGGCTCTGATGACTAGAAAAATGAAACACGAAGGCCAAGAAGAAGAAGAAATTAGAGAAGTATTCCGTGTGTTTGACAAGTTAACCTACTATTTTGTTTGGGGTTTCTTTGTCAGTACCCATTGAACACTTTATCTAAGCTAGAAACTGCCATGTATATAAAACAATCTGTATACAATTGGGCTGCTTGTTATGAAGAGTAACTGCTGTTTACCTCTCAAGCCTCAGCAAGCTGGAAAAGATTGTGGGCATCAAGCTTTTATTGGGTTTTTTCTTGAAGAGCATTAGGGAATATCTGCTTATGTTTTCAAAGCCCCATTTAGCTCCACTTTGGTAATATTAAACACAAATTTTAATAGCAGGTGTGACTCACTTGAACCGAGCTGCTAGCAGGCTTCTATAAGCTTTAGCACAACTTGAAGCTTGATTAAAGCCTGCTAGCTTGTTTAAGGTGGGTCAGCACTTCCATTTAAGATCTGTATTTGCCATTCCCAAAACGGGAGCTGAAGGTTTCTTTAAAGGCTTTGAGAAAGCTTCACAAATGCCTTGCAAAAGCTTGCCAATTTGCTGTTCACACTGCATATACTACCTGGAGCCCATGTGATCTAGGACATTGTGAGATGTAGAACTTTAGCTGAGCAATTAAATTCAGCGCAGGCAGGCAAGGTATCATCTGCTTTCAGAATGAGGGCCTAACAGATGGTCTGTTTTTGTCTTGAACAGTAGCAGTTCATACACATGCTTAAACATTACAGCCAAAGCACTGCAAAATGGAATGTGGGTCTTAATGCCAGACCACCTTCCCTACATTCTGCCGTGCTGTGCAGGGTACCTTTCAATCATTTATATTACTCCAGGGATTGTGAGCCATTGTGTATTACTAATGCATGAAGTGATTTCAGTGTTAAGATCTGTGTATACATGAAGATCAAGCTGTCCAGTATAAGGGATGCTGATTTAATACAATGTTACTCAATGTAACTAGTGGGTGCCAGTACAGCTCCGGAGCACATCTCCATTCTTGAATAACAATCCAAGGAAGGGAAGAACTGCTGCATACAATTCTAGCTTTCATTCTACTGTATTTATAGAGTTGCTACATATCCCTGCATAAAATATAGATTTACTTCATTGTGTTGGGACACATGCTTTACTTGTTTTTGGGGCCTTTAGAGCAGTTAACTCCGATAACTTTAGCAGTACTGCAGTCTGGAAGCTGTGCTGAAAAGGGATTCAAAAGGCTGGTCACCTGTATTCAGTCTCCTTGCAGTCAACCCTTTCATATTCACTTGCCATGCTGTGTTCTGAACTGTGGTTCTGTATGGTGGTGGTCAGCTTGGTAGAGGCAGGCTATTGCTTCCTAATGTCACAGCCTCCAGCAAGTAGAACAGTGAGCAGCCCAGTGGCAACATTAAATCTCAATTTACTGAGACAAGCAACGGGTCCAGACTGCCTAAAATGTAATTCACACTACAGATATACAGCTATGAGGTTGTAGTCACGAGTGCCTAGCCACCCTTGTATACCAGGAAGATGGGGGTCCTTTTTATTTCTTGCCTCCGGTTTAGATAGCCAGAGAAGCCAGTGTTTTATTTCTGCTCTTTAGCAAGGAAGTGGTCAGGCATTAGTTGAGGCTGTGGTAACTGAAATATGATTGAGGCAGCACAGAATAGAACCTTCTGACCATTGAAGATTTAGATAGATGTGGTGAGTCTTCCTATCTGGGGTAAGGGGCGGATGCCTTTTTCATTGCTTATACTTGTGCTGGTCTCCTGGTTCCCCCCCATTATGAAACCTTATGATCTCAGTTTCTTTGAATTATTTAAACTCTCCTTGTAGGATTCAGGAGTTTATCTAGAATTGTAATTTGCATGTGAGATAATTACACCAGACTCTGCCTGTCATATTTCCACTGTAGCCTCCACTGACTAGTGCAGAGCTTCATCCCCCTTGTGGAATATGTGCAGCTGCTGTGGTCATTATGATCTGCAGTCATAGTGCTTGTTTCACCTAAATTGAGACAGTGTGTGGATGATTAAACACTTCAGAATAGTTTCCTGCAGTGGGCTCTGTGTGAGGGAACAAATATTTGACCATAACCTTTATTTTCCCAATGCACTTGCCTAGAATCTGCTTAAGATATGACCTACAAAATGTTTTTATGGGTGCTCTGGTACGTAAGGCATAGATTTGTCTCTGTAATTCAGTTTGTGTAGTCCCCTGCAGTCTAAACTTTCTCTCCATTCTAGGACGGTAATGGCTACATTAGTGTTGCTGAGCTCCGTCATGTTATGACAAATCTGGGTGATAAATTAACAGATGAAGCGGTTGATGACATGATCAGGGAAGTAAATATTGATGGGGATGGTCGTGTAAAATACGAAGGTAAGTTCTTTGTAATTTGAATTCCTTGTCCCTTCTAAACACAAACAGGCTTTGGTTACATATGTATTAGGAGATATATTTTAGTGTCTCTCCAGCTATGTGCATTCGTCAACTTGGTTCTGTTGGACTCTGTCAGAACTATTGAGACTAAAAGAATTGGACAATAAGGCCTATACATATTTTTCTACACGTTATAAGATGGCATCCTGAAAGCCATTTTGTATTGACAGATCTAAATGTGTAACGACCAGACCCCACAAGTTTTATGTTAGGTGGAGGATCACAGCTGCAGAAGTATGAGGCGGGGGTGCAATCCTACACCACAGTAATTATGCAGCCTTATAATAATGAGTTCATCAACAATACTTGGCATGAAACATAGATAAAGGTTTATTAAATGGAGTAGTCCTTTGATTGGGGGAGTGAAGGAGGGCAACAATCAATGATAGCAATCAAGGTCCCTATGCACAGTTCTATAATTTATGCAAGCAATTGGAAGTCACAGTCTGTGGTATGATTACTTGCTGTTTTAGTTGAAAGGATTTGTAAGAGGAACGTTGGTGCCCTCCGGTGGTTCTTTAGAGTAATTGTAATCCGGGTTGTAATGTTCCTAGCTGAAGCTGGGGATAGAGTGTGTAGAAGGAGACCGACTTCCAGGGCAGGAGGGAGGCCTGGAGCTGCTGAGCTGGCGGTTTTGCAGGGGCTCTGTCCGGCCCAAGAGTGGTAGTGGTTCGGTGCTTGGAGACAGGAACTTGCCTGGCGTCTTCACACTTGCTCGAACGCCAGACAAGTGTACCCGTCGGTCTTAACTAGGGAGTAGGGGAGGAGTCTCGTGACGTCAGCAAGTTCCGACGGCGATGCTGGCCGCGCTGGAACGAGGATCAGGTGAGTGAACACCTGAGTCTGTTACAAAATGGAACTTAAGTTTATGAGTTCCGGACAAAAACTTTCAGAAATGTTTCTTGGAAACTTATCCCACACATTTCTCAGCTGGTAAATTGTGAGAAAATCATTAAAATGATACAAAACAGCCCGGAAGTTATACTTCTCCGGTTATGGATGGTGAGAAGTGTCATCTACGAGATATGGACTGGCCTTGAGCTAGGCTGTGTTAGAATCACGCATATTGTATAACAATGGACAACAAAGTCTTTGATTAATTTATTTTCATGAATGAGAAAAAGAAATATAACGAGCACGTTATAAAGCTATCTTAGATACAATTATTATTGAACTAACCATATTAGCAATAATTCCAATTGTATTATTAGTATGGCATGATGCATTAACATACTTAATGGTATACTGATTTTTTTAAATATATATTCTCATAATATTCAACCTATATTCATAAATATATATTGTGTGGTTATACATATTAGCATATATAATCCATTTGATGTGTTGATGTTTTAAGTATAAATTAGGTTGGGTATAATGTTACATCAGTGAAGAATTTTAAGGTAACCAATGTGTCAGCAAATTGCTTCTTAATCTTATGTTGAAGTTTTAAAGAAAGGTTCAAGAGTGAACATTGCCCTCTTCCGGTAGTCACAGGGATCGTGTTAGAAAGTCACGCCCCTATGGCATCAAAATTAAAAGTAAAAGATAAGCAAACCAGGCCCACATTTTTGGGGGATAAAAAGTTAGGAGAAGAATAGAAAAAAAAGAAGGAATTATTAGGAGGATTATGATGATTCTTGTTCTTCGGGGGTCGGAGGATTCTTTTTCTTGACCCTGATTTCATACTGGATTATTCTTTATACGAGAGTTTCTTCTTCTTCATACGGGAGATCTGAAGCTGATTGACGGGCTGTCCAAGGGAACAGACACAAAGCTGAAATCTCTCAGACAAAAAGATCTAACATTTTTGGTAAAGTATAAATTCTATTTATCTCCAGGCAATTGATAGCCATATACATCATTACTAAGCCATTTGGTCCTAGTAGCATCGAGATTTGAATTTAGATCACTCTAACTGCAGTACGACCGGTCTCTTTTCCCATCTTTGGAGGGAAATACACATATATGTATATCTCTCCGAAACTGATTTCAGTTTCTAGTCTACGGTGTGGTTGTGGTGTATACGTTAAATTAAAAATAATTTAGTGGACGTTTGTTTTTGCCTTAAATAGAAAAGAGCCAATTCTGTGCATGATATATCTTGCGCAGTATAAACTTTGAGCTGTTCAATATCTGTTGTCTGAGAGAGATCACGTGTCAAATCTGTACATTGTGTTGTTACATTCTGCTGAGCTAATGATAAGCTACTAATTGCATTCCAGGAGTTACTAAGTTTTGTTTCATTTATATTTGAAATAATATCCTGTGGTTTTATTTTTCTCATTATCTGTGTTGATCAATTTTATTGAAACTTTGATCCAATTGATTTCTTGTGTATCACCAATTATTGTTTGATCATAATTTTTGCACTGATTTCTTAGTTAATAAAATATATATATATTTTTGCACAGCTATTGTATCCATTTTTGTCTTCAGGTTAGCACAAATGAACTCGAGTTATTATTTTTGTTGATTTGTGAAAATAAGTTGGGAATCTCCTTAATTCCAGATCCTGGCCTATTTTCATAAATAAAGAATTGTTTATTTTTATCTGAGTAAACATTCTGACAACTCGTAGGATTTGGGTTGATTAGCATCCAGTCAGAGCCCATTGGTTATTACTGCACTATAAAACGTGAATACGAACACTGACGCCTACACTTGCTTGTTCTTTGCACAAACTGGGTCTGACTTGTGAAGGAGTAACTATACCTTGGCCTGAGTTTAGGAGGAAACCTATCCTTTTGAAATTGTGAAATTTTAAGCGATGTCTCTTTTTTTTTTTGAGTAAGTTGGCACTCTTTTTTTTTTTTTTTTGTCAAAAAAGTTTTTTTTTTTCCCGCCAGCCCC